TTGAGCTGCAGCCCCAGCCAATGAGCCTCATTTGAAAAGCTGCTGTTTTCCACAAAGCATAGGAGTTAGAGTGCCCTATCTCAAGAAAAGCTCTTAGGCCCTTAAGAAATACAGTCCACATCTGTGAAACTGGCCAGAGATCTTTTTTAAGAAGACTTGGATTTCAAAGGGGGAAAAATTGACAAGAGCATTTCTCAATTCAAGTCTCAAGAGAGAATTCCCTATCATCTTCCTTGGGAAGTAAAGAATCTGCAGGTCAATAAGGCCAGAGAAAGTTAGGATGTTTAGATTGTCCTCAAAACATCATTATCCACAAAACCTTTTGATGGGAAGTCTTCAGGAGCCCTGACTTGCCAGAGAGCTAAAGGAAAAAAAGAAACAGAACTTACCGATCTCACTTTGCTGTTTAAACCCACACACACACACACACACACACACACACACACACACACACAGTTACTTTTCTGGTTGCGCTTAGTTTATTACTGGGGTTCACTAGTATTTTAGTCAGTTCTGAACCCACAATCAAAATTAGCTGGTGGGTATATTTCTCTTCCCTGGGAAGTCATGAAAATATCTTGCATCAGAGATCAGGAGACCCAAGTTTTTGTTTGTTTTGTTTTTTATTTATTTTTTACATTCTAACCCCAGTTCCCCCTCTCTCCTCTCCTCCTGTTCCCTCCACTCCCCTTTCTTCCCATCTGCTCCACAGGGAGGGTAAGGCCTCCCATAGAAAGTCTACTAAGTCTGCCCCATCATCTAGTTGAGGCAGGACCAAGGCCACCCCGGTGTCTAGGCTGGACATGGTATCTCTCCATAAAGAATGGGCTCCACTAAGTCAGTTTGTACATTAGTGTTAGGGCTTGGACCCACTGCCAGTGGCCTCATATATTGTCCCAGTCACACCATTGTCACCTATATTAAGGGAGTCTAGTTTGATCATATGCAGATTCCCCATTTGTCAGACTTCAGTCAGTGATCTCTGGCTCGGGTCAGATGATTCTGTGGGTTTCCCCATCATGGTCTTGACTCCTTTGTTTATATTTTTGCTTCTCCGTCACTTTGATGGAGACCCACATTTTAACCAAGTTACAACCTAGTCAGCTTTCTATTTTTAGGATGTTACGTTTATCCACTGATGAGGCATACATGCTCTGTCTGCTACCAGAAGCAGGGGAGAAAATAATGTTTAGTGATACCCACAAAGCAAAACAAAGACCAATCTTTGCTGTGGTCAGAGAGTAAAATAACCAACATCATTTATCATTTTATGTCATTGCAAAGTAGCTAATAATTAAACTTCATTAAAGCTTTAAAAAAGTCTGCAGAAGATAGAGAAAACTAATTGCTACTAATGTATTTTTCCTTGATTCATTCTCTTAATAATAATTATAAAGAATTTCTTGTTCAAGCCATTCATGTCTCATCAAATTGTACACACACACACATAGTAGAAACATTACAATTTGTTGTTTCTCTATTTTAAGTCTTACACATAAATTACATATTACAATCAATATAAATTAATTTTTCCTTAGTCACCATAATTGCAATGCTATTGTGTATATTAATTATTTAAAATTGTTTTAAATATTCTGATTATATTGTACTTATTGTATGTACTCATCTGTGCATCTTTTTCTCAACATGGGAATAAACTCTGGTGGTCAACCTTGGCAGAAAGTTCCTTTACCCACTAAGCCATCTCATGGTCCACCCTCTAATGTATTTTTTTTTTTTTTTTTGCAAAGCTGAAAGTTAAAACCATATTAGATAAAAGCTGTGTCATGGGGTGCCACTCCAGATGAATCTAGTCTTGAAATGTAGAAATAGGATGAGAAGAGGTAAATGCATAAAATGAGGAGTTTTTTTCTTTGTTTGTTTTGTGTGGAGGCCAGTAAATACTGCTCTTTAAAATGAGCTTCATAAAAAAAAAAAATGGTAAAGGGAAATTAAAATGTTACATTTGCACGAATAAAATTCAAACACCCACAGCTAGACTAGGCATTTGGAACAGAGTCTGCAGACCTTTACATTAAATTTCAAACTTCCAGTTTCAAGCAGATCCTTGGGGCTCTTTGGCCAGACAGTTTAATCAAGTCTGTGAGCTCCTGATGCAGTGAGAGACCCTGCCTCAAAAGATGGGGAACATGAGAGCTTGTTTGGAGGTCCTAGCAGAGGAGCACGGCTACTTGTATACCCGTGACTGAAGAAGGAAGGTCAGTGGTGGCGTACTCCTTTATTGGGAAGAGGCAGGCTGATCTTTGTGAGTTCAAGGCCAGTCAGGTCTACAGAGCAAGTTCCAAGACAGGCTCCAAAGCTACACAGAGAAACCCTGTCTCAAAAAAGCAAGAAATAAATAAATACATAAAAAAAATACATAAATTTCATGGTTCCGGTTTTTCATATACGTTAAGTTGTGTAGACTTTTGGTCTCATTAATGTTGATGTGTGATGGTTTTTATTTACTTATTTCTTAGCAAGTTAGCAAGTTTTTAAATGATAAAGTTTATTTAAAATTTTAAAATAAAAAAATCAAGTCAATAGCTACCAGAAGTGTTTCATCACTAAACACACCATGATAACAAAGAGCAGAGGGACTTTTAGCCTGTTTTAGTATTGTCTTGAACCCCTCTGTTTACTCCTTAGGATAAACCTCCTTCCCCATTGCTTAAACCTTGGCTCATCCCTGAGTATGGGTTGCTGATTCCTTTCTTCTACTCCAACATAATCCCTGAAGAGAATTTTATTATAAGATTATTTCATTTATGCCTCATAATCTTCCTACACCCAAATCCTTGTAACTTCTAGGATCTGGGCCGACATTAAGTCCAGCCCAGTCTTAATTATTTTACAACCTTGTTATTGTTCTATGACAAAATCCTTCTAACTCACAGAATCCTCCCACTTCTTAGTTGAAGAGGGCTGGATATGTCACTACACAGCACGCAGCATGTTTTGTATTTGTAAAGCCTTAGGTTTAATCTCCAATACATGAAAAACTCAAAATTAGTAAAAGACTGAATCTATATTCAGTTTATTTACTGGAGTTGGTGGATGTACTGAGGACCAAATTCAGGGTCTCAGATATGCCAGGCAAGCATTCCGCCAGATCCTGTCCCCGGGCCCAATGAATCCATGTGACAGTGGGCAGTCGTATACGGAGATAATTGAAAACAGAAAAAGATCCCTGAAGAAACTGTCACAAGTATTCTGCTTTTTGTCATTTGAAAGTACAGCCTGGGGTACTGGCAAGATTGCTCAGTGCTTAAGATCAGAGACTACTCTTGCTGTGGGCCTGAGTTTGATTCCCAGCATCTTTGCTGGGTGGCTTACAACTGCCTACAACTCCAACTCAAGGGGTTCAAGAGTCCTTCAAGGGCACCTGCGATCGAGTACACATTACCCCCACAGAGACACATATCCAAAACAATAAATCAGTAAAAAAATGTAGTTGATTAGAATAAGAAAGAAGTAAACATGACCACCATGACTGATTGCTATTATGATAATAGCTAATTTGGGTGTTTATCATATGGCATCCACTAAGTAGCTTTCATTAAATTTAATCTTAGAGAATTACTACAATGCTGACAGAACGCCACTCAGCCTCTCCTAACATCGATCCATAATGGCAGAATTACTCAATAACTGCCAGCCTTCTGGTGTGTCCATCTTGTCGTTCAGCCCCTCCCTGATTTAAACACAGGTTAAGACAAGTTGTCTTTCTAGATAGCAACTCCAAAATTCTTGCTGCCAAGGATTTGAAAGCAGTACACCTCAAGCCTTCCCCCTTTCTCTGTTTCCTCTTTACTGTTAAAAAAAATGTGCCCAGATAAAGTCACATAATGAAGACTTTATTGGAGACCTTTACATTAGGGAAGGGAGAATAAACTGAATTCCTCTGAGGTCGACGGCAGGAGAATTTTTAAATGGCTAAGAATGTACTGAAGAATTTTGGAGACAGGCTACTCAGTGTGATTAGGCCATCTGTGCTTGTTAACTGACAATTAGGGAAGTTAGCATTCTAGTCTCCCACACAGGGAAAGAGAATTTGGGGTCCTCTCTTCCTCAATGACTCCGTTTCAAAGAAATGGCTCATGGGCCATTAGGCAAGCTAAGAGGAAATGTAAAAATAGTGCCTCGGCACTATTGCTTCCAGAAGCCTGATAGATGCTGCTCAACTCCCTTAACAGTATTACAACCTCTTCTGTTTTCTTAAGCTTTTAATTTTTTTAACTTATGTGCATGTGTGTGACTGTATGTCTCACATGTACTAATGCCTGCGGAGGCAGAAGAAGGTACCGGAGGCCTTGGAGCTGGAGTTACAAGTGGCTGTGAGATGCCCAACTCAGATCCAGCAGTGAGCACTCTTAGCCACTGAGCAATCCCTCTCTCCAGCCCTCCATCATCCTCTTTCTAGCTGAGCAGTCAGATTCTGCTTTGAAATTGACTTCCTTGTTCTGAGCATAACTGTTCTTATTCTACTGGGAACTCCTGGCTGGAACCAGTGCCTATCACCTGAACACACCTCCTTCTGCTGCCCCAAGTAAACTGGACTTTTCCTTTCCTTAGCTCCACTTATGAGATTATTTTGAGAAATGAATTCATAAAGAGTCACCCTTTCTAATTAAAGAGCGAAGTACTGCTGGCTGTGGCTATAGAGACTTCAGGGTGTTCCAGAGTCCCAGCCCTGTTTTTTTTACCTGAATCAGTTGATTGCAATTTAAGCCCCACCCTTGCCCCCCTCCCTCATAATTCGTCATGAGTGACTGACTGCAGCTGTGACTCAGACAGCAGAGGTCTGCAACTGCCTGTCCTTAATGACTTCCTGTCCCGCCCTCCCTGGGGGGGGGCTTGTGACAATAAACCATTTCTTACTCTTTGATAATGAAAGATTCATTCCCAGTTAAGTGATCCAATAACCAATCAAGAGTTCAGTAGGGTCAATCATAGACTAATACAGCTGTTTAAAAAGACACTTGATTTCCAAGCCCTTACAAACTTTTTATTCCCTTTTATGAACTCCAGTTCCATTATCCTGTACATTGTTATTGCCCTGACATTGTTAACAATAAAGAATTTTTAAATTATATTTTTAATTGTACTAAGGAACTGATATGTTGAAGTAAACTCTAATGTCAATCACCCAGGGATCTTCGTGGAAAAGCCAACTTGCTCTGACTCAGCAGGGCAGTGAGAGCAGAGGGGACTGGAGATGCTGTCTTCTCTGCTTGGGGGGCCCCTGGGGCTGGATCACTAGTGATACTGGCTGTATGTGAGCGCATCATTCTGGTTCCTTTCTGCTGCTGTGATAAAACTCTATGACCAAAGGGACTAAGTGGAGGAAAAGTTTTGTTTCTTTACCAACTACCCAGCTAGCCAAGCAACACACTTACATAAAAGCATTACTCTGCAAATACACAGGGTTACACCAGGACCATATGTTCACAATAAAATAAATGCATAGATACACAATACACAGTAGCTGAAACTAATACAGGAAAGCCACGCTTTGAGTTAAGTGTTCTACAGTGCTGATTAATTAATTAATTAACTGATTATGACTTAAATGGTTATAGAGAGCTTGGATGTTGCAGGCCAAAACCCAATATATCTTGGATAATGTAAGTCCACCTCTATGTGTGATCTAACATTCTTGGAAAGTACAGACTCTTGGCTTCTACCCACCCAAAGGCTGATAATGACATCAGATGGCATCTGAGACCTATAACAGAAATGTCTCAATTTGCCGTACCCACCTACCTGATGTTTCCACCAGTGTATTTTAAGAGCCTGTGAATTCATGAAGTATTCTATTATTCTTATAGTATAAAAATGTCATGAAACTAAATTGGCACATGGGTCTGAGCATAACCTGAATTAGTGGGTTCCTGGGCCATGGTCACTAGTGTTTGGTTTTACAATGAACTAGTTTTTATTCCCTTTGAGGTGAGAACTGTGTTTTGTGTCAGCATAAGAATACACATTAAAGGCATACGCCTTTAATCCCAGCACTCAGCACTCAGAAGGCAGGGGCAGGAAAATTTCTTCGAGGCCAGCCTGGTCTACAGAGCTAGTTCCAGGACAGGCTCCAACGCAATACAGAGAAACCCTATCTCAAAATACAAACAAACAAAAAAGGAATGCACAGGAAGAAAATGAAAATGAAACCATATTTAAGAGATACTAAATATGAAAAGAGATACGGGTTGTCTTTTAATCTATCTTTACTAGCCCCATAATATTTCTGTAATTGTTTTCTAAATGAGCAAATATTTTCTCATTTCCTTTCTTTTTATGTTTTGTTTCATTACAGGCCTTAGGATCCCAGAGATCCTCCTACCTCCAGGCCTCTAGATTACAGCAATTAAAGGCTTATGATACCACACTGGGCCCCAACAATTTATTTTAAAAATAAAGCTTATTCTTTCTTCTGTTAAGAGACATTTGGGGGACTGGACAAATGGTTCAGTGGTTAGGAACGCTTTCTGTACTTACTGAGACCCTGGCTCAGTTTCCATTATATACATGGAGAATCACAACCACCTATACTCCAGTTTAGGGAATCTAGTACCTTCTTTTACTCTCTGTGGGCAGCTGGTTCATGCCCTATACACATACGAATGTGCAGGCAAACATACATAAATACATTTAAAAGTCTTAGGAAAAAGAAGAGTCACAGTGAGTTTTTATGACAACATATTGTAAGGCTCCTCAATATATAACAAATATAACAATATAGAACAAATATCACAGGCAATAACAGGTGTGGAAAAGGGGCTTAAGGAGGGGGTGCCGGTCAAACATTCTGGCACACACTGTCATCCCAGTGTGTGAGAGGCTGAGGAAGATCTCAGGTTCAATCATCACAGGCTAGACACCAAGTCCAAAGTAAGTCTGGGTTACACAGTGAGATACTGTCTCAAACAAATTAAAAATACATATTAATAATAGAAAAAGAGGTAGACACTAGCCTGATTCATTGTGGCTATGTGACTTTGACATCTGTCCCAGTTACAATGAGCCCCGATGGGCCTCTGGGAGTCTTAGATGCAATTCATCTAACAAAGACAATTTCAGATGAACTTGTTTTTCTGTGAGGTAGAGGTTAAGTCAAAGAGCCATATTAATAATAGAAAAAGAGGTAGACACTAGCCTGATTCATTGTGGCTATGTGACTTTGACATCTGTCCCAGTTACAATGAGCCCCGATGGGCCTCTGGGAGTCTTAGATGCAATTCATCTAACAAAGACAATTTCAGATGAACTTGTTTTTCTGTGAGGTAGAGGTTAAGTCAAAGAGCCGAGACCCGGTCATCTGAGAGATTTCTTAGCACTGAGGACAAGTTTGGATGCTCTTCCTGGCACACTTGTGCAATGGGAAATGTTCTTCACCTGTAAGGCAAATCAAGACAGTTTAGTAACCACTTTTCGCTTTCAATGTGTATCTATTTTAAACCTGTAAACATGTAGCAGACAGGGCTTAAAGAAGTAGCTTAAAAATTATTTTCAATATGGAGTGTTATGGCACATGCTGCAGAGGCAGGAAGATATGAGGTGTGTCTTGTTTATATCAAGAGTCCCAGGCCAACCAAGACTACATGGTAAGACCCTGTCAAAGCAAACAATTATTCAAAGCTTTGACGGGACAAGGAGGCCAGAAAGCTTTTCAGCCACTCCGTTCACCCAGCACAGTGATCATGGTCCCCTGGCCTTAGCTGAGCCCTCCCACATTGTGTGGAATCATTTCTAAGTAAGTTGGAAAATATGTACTGATCCATTAATGATGGAGAAAATCAAAAATACGTATTTCTGGATTATAGGAGAAGTCTTAGTAAAAAAACCACTAGATCAGTTTTCATTGTTTTGTAGTTGTTTGTTTTACTTTTTATTTCTATACTGTTATATCTAGAATATTAAAATAAAAAACTGAACCCTGGTTAGGAGAAAAGTGGGTTAAATGATAACAACTGCACTGGTAATCACAGAGGAGTTAGTGTTGAGCATGTACTACATGCCAGGCAGTATTCTAAGTATTTCAACTAAATCCTACCCCAGAAAGCTCAGCATTTGTTATTCCCACTTAACAAGCAAAGACATAGAGATTAGGCACCTTGCTCAAGGTTACTAGTTAACAAAGGTTTGGTATGAGCCACAAAACCCCCTAGAGCCTGCCTTCTGAGAGCTGAAGGATGCTACTGTTTCAGATCATTGCAAAACAAGAGTTGTTTTTCTTGTCTCCATTCGGTGCTCAGTCACCTAGGACCAATTCCGCAAGTGCGGAGAGGCCACTTACCAGTCATGATTAGTCTTACAAAGAAACCAAGAAGTTCTGCAAAAGGAGAATGTATTGGGGGCCAACATCACATTTTCCAACTACTCAATGGCTCATCCTCCCTCAGGGAAAGCTCTCCCAGGCCTTGCAGGATGCAGGGATACTTTTCCTAAACCCGTGGTGCCCTCGGAAAGGTCCACTTTGAGACAGGGTCTCCGTGTGCAGCACAGACTGGCCTAGAATTCAGATTCTCCTGGTTGGGTGTATTTGGATCCCTACAGCTGAGGCACGGCAAGCGCGGTCCACGAATCATTATTGGGAAGATGAGCACATTTCTTGTCTACTTAGTAAGGACATGCAAACACTTCTGAGTTACACAGCCTGTGTGACCTGTAGGCCAGACTTAGCTCGTTTGTAAACGAAGGATGCCATCTGGCCAGGCAGAAGATAAGAAGAGGTGATGATGGCTCAAAGGCCATTCGAGCTCTAACAGGAAGACAACTGAAAGGACTGACTGGGAGAAGAGCAGATGTTCAAGCTTCACCCCCAAAGCAGAGCCCCTCTCCTTTGCTACCTGACTTGTTAACAAGCACCCCTCCCAGAGGGGCCCCTCGCCTCTCTCCAAGAGCTTTGTTCTGCTCCTCAGAATTCCAAACTATGTCCCAACACTAAAAACCTAGTGATGATGTGGGGATGCTGAGATGATGGATCATCAGTGTAGTGAGATTGTCACTTTGTCCGCACCAGTGGCACAGACCACGCCCATTGGGGGTGGGGACAGGGGTGGGCATTACCTGGGGGGCTCCAGGAGCCCTCTTGCTTGCAACACAGGGACAGGAGAGCATCTGGAGGCATCCTTGAGACCAGGAACCTGCTGGTGTTTGTCTGTCTCTGTTGTAAGTTATTTCTCCCTGGATAAATATCTATTCGGCCTATCTGTTTCTCCTGATCCTTATTAAACCTCAATAGATCGGTGGTCACGAGCACCTGTTCCTGCAAAGGACACACAACCTTCTCTAACCCCAGTTTCAGGGGATCCCATGCTGACTTATGAGAGCATCAAGCACACTAGCAGTGCACAGATGTACATACAAGCAAAACAGTCATACAAACAAAATAATAAAGTTATTTTTAAATGATAGTGTCTAATGACAAAGGGAATACATTAAGGAACCAAGTATTGGCCTTAGATCATTTCAAATGCAGGGAAGAGGGCTCATTGGTCGAGAGAGCAGACTGGTCTGGCAGAGGACCAAGCTGGGTTCCCATCACTCAATTCCCCAATTTCCTCAGTTTCCTCCAGGCACCTATGACACTCATGTGCACATACTTACATTCTCCCAAACATCTAATTCAAGATAAGAAAAATAAAACTAAACTTTAAAAAAAAGAAGCAGAGTTATTGTCAATTCAGCCTTAACTACAAATCTTAGTTGTTAAAAGATAAGAATGGGTATATTTCCTAGTGGAGGGGGGGTGGTGGGGGGGCCTGGAGGAAGGAGGGAAAACTGTGGTGGGGATGTAAAAGAAATAAATACATTTAATTAAAAAGCGAAAACATACAACCACTTATGGCGTACATATCGCACACAGAATGCCTACCTTACTTATTTAACAGTAAACTAGGTTAGATGCCCTCTGAGGGTGAAGTCCTGTTAAGTGGCATTTTACCCTCAAAGCTCAGGCCAACCCCCTTCCCCCCCCAAAAAAAAAAATCCTTCCAACTCAGTCTTTCCCTTACTCCTTTTCCTCATAACACGGAAATAGGAAGGACAGGAGTGGAAGCTGCACACCACTATAGAGTGCCTAGAAACATTTTGCTTCACTTCCTGTTTTGTTTTATTTTTCTCTCTCTCATATATATGCATGCATGTATGTATGTATGTATGTATGTATGTATGTATGTATGTTTTTAAGGCGTTCAAAGCAAGCTCCTCTCTGCACCCACTCCACACACTGCACACATCCCTAGAGAGCAGACCTCAAACTTTCCTGGTGCTTTTGGATGCTCAACAGGAAAGATAAGCAGGCAAGTGAACTAGAGTTTTGTGCTTTCAAACCCCCTTTCACCGCCAATGTAAAAATACCTTTTGTTCTCTTAGACGACTGTGAGAAGATTCTGACGCCACCGCGGAAATCTAAGGCTGCTGAGAGTTGGTTCTTCGAGCATTTTCTCGAAACACAGGCCTGAAACATTTCTCTAGTTTCAGGAATGTGTTTACTCTTCCCCGGGAATCCGTCCCTTGACGACGAATAGCAATGAGTGGCACATCCAGATTCTACTGGGGCCCCGGTGCCCCACAAACTGTCACTCACTCTGGGTGCGAAAGGTGACTGCGGTCACAGAGCGCTCCTGGGTCCTCGTGGTCATATGACCCTTGGTCCACGCAGTCTGCAGCACCTCCTGAGTCTCCTGGTAATCCACGACCCTCACCAACAGGGACCTGGGTGTGGCTGCGGGGTCCCCGGGCTGGGCTCTGGGGACCGTGGCAATGCGCCTTCGGGAAAGCGTCGGTTCTGGTTCCGAAAGGCAGTGGTTTCCAATCGTCCGGGATAGGTCCTCGCTTTCCGCCAGCTCTGCGCAACCAGGGTCGGTTTGTGTTCCCAACCACCTCTCCGGGTGCAGAAGAAAGAGCACTTTCTCTCTTACCCAGGACTGGCAATCTAAATTCTCTCGCGTCCGCGGTCTCACATCCCCACCTGCTGCTGCTAGATCCCCGTTGGTCCCCGCCGGCGCCGGATCCGGGGCGCTGGGATCCAAGGGCGACTCACACCCCACCCCGCGCGGAGAGTACCCGGAGCGCCCCTGGGATCTCCCGGGCTCCATCCCTGCGAGCGGGTCATTCACACACACTAGTTCCTCCAGCTCTCACAGGAAAACTCCAACTAGGCTCTGAAAACTGCGGGTGGTGCCGGCTCTGGGTGTGGCCTGAGAGAGTCACAGATTAGAGGAGCAGCCCGGGGCCAGGATAGCTGAGAATTCCAGTCTCCTCTCGGTCTCCTTTCAGACCTTAGACCTCATGACTTTCCACCCATTCAACCAGTCTTGGCGCCTTTTCTTCTTACCCTTGGCCATAGACCCGATTTTTGTTTTTTTAAATGATGCGTTTGGCTTCTAATGAGGACTCCACCTGCCCTCACAACTGCCTCCTCCCCCCCCAAACTGAAATGAGAGGCACTTGGGTTCTGTGACAGCATCAAACTCTCAAAACACTGTTCTTCATTTCCTTTCCATGGATGATCAAACATGCAAAAACAAGTAAGTGTGGTTTGTAATCGTGTGAGTTAATCGAATTCTTCTGAAAAGCATGTTTGAGTAAAGGTGTCATGCCTGAACCCACTGTGCGGCCTGACTGTTCTGGCCTGACTGTTCTCCTTGGCAATCCCCCATCCTCAGTTTCCTGCTTGCTGTAACTGAAAAGGATTTGCGTCCCCTTTAAATCCTCCCCTGGGCTATTTAGCTCCAGGTGTGTTAAATACAGATCACAGGGAGAGGTTGAGGCCTTTGAAGTCTTAGAGAGTGGAGCTCTTAGTTGGTACGTTTCCTTTGGAATGCCAGGATCTGCAGGGACAGTGGTCACCTCCATCTGTGCTTGGGTTATCATGACTTATCTCAGAAAGAGGCCCGGTGCCTTTGACTTGAAACACTCATGGAAGAGAACCAGAACAAACAACAGCAAACCACTAGGGCTTCTTGTACCTTTGTAGATCCCCCTCCCATTCAGCCAGCCTCTCCTCTTTTAACCCCAAGATACATGTATGCGTATGTTCCCACGTATGCATTATACAGCTAAGGGTCTAAGCTTCTGGTCAGGGCCTATGCCACACTAATGTATGCTGAGGTTTGTGGAGAACACTAGCCAGTTATGACAAAAAGCTTGTTATGTGTAAATTCTAGTTCATCCTTGGTAACAGCTGTTTGTTTTTCTCAAAAATACTGTTTTCCTGTCTGGTTTAGCAAAATGACCACAATTGTGGGAATTTCTGCTCTCACAAGAAAGCCGGAAAAGCATGGTAAAAAAGACATTCTGGTATCAGGGTGGGGCCGAGCCTTGAGCCTTGCTTCGGGCTGGCTGGCCACTGCTACTCCACATTTATCATTATTGTGTGCTGCAGATGAAAATAGCTTTCAGCACTTTAAACTCAAGTTATCCTTCACAACGAAATAAGGAAGTAGTATTTCTTTGTTATCTTTGGGAATTTTAAATCATTCCTGCCCTTGGGCAAACACTGATAAACAGTAGAGCCTGGTTTCTATTATGTTAATATGTTTGCTCCTGCCTGACCTCCAAAGTATCTCCTTATAAGACTATAATGCTCTGTCCCGTTCGTATGCTTAACCAGGATGAACTTAGTATTGCAAATGCCCGTGACAGGGTAATAGGATATTTAGAAGACAAGCCAAACTGCTTATCTCCATAGTGTGCTTTCCCTGGAGTCACAGATAAGAATTTAGCTGTGTGTAGATGGGAATATGGGCTGGAACATTCTGACCTATTCTCGCAGACTTAGCTTTCACGGCTTTGGAGGTAGGCTTTGAACACTGACTTAGCTAGGCCCTCAGTAATTCTGATGCTGGTGGTCCATGGGCATTCTGGGAAACATATCACCAATTCACAGCAGCTGCAGATGTTTGCACCATGTTAGTAAAAGAATGGGCCCTGTAACAGTCAGGTGTGGGTGGAGCAAGGGCTCTGGGGCCCTAATCCTCATCGCTAAGTCATTTGCTACTGAATGACTAAAGCAGGAGGGAAATCAATGTCTTTGTTTGTATACAGGCTGTGTCTGGCTCCAGTGCACAATCCTATCTAAGGGTCCCACGGATGGCCCTGATTGAACTAAATGGATCACACGTGGTCAGCTCTGAGAACATGGACACAAGTATGCTATATTGAGGAATATCTATTCACATACATGTGTGCAAGCAACAATAGGTGAAGGAAAGAGGCCATGAATTAGAAAGCAAGCTGGGAAGGGTATGTGGGAGGGCTTGAAGGGGGGAGAGGGAAGGAAGAAATGATATGTTCATATTATAATGTCAAAACGAAAATGTTTGAAAAGGTAGGAAGTCGTGAACCCAAGAAAAGTTGGTAGAGGCAGGAAAGAGCTAGGAACGGTAGGGATTTCAGAGACGGGATGGGGGTAGAGTCATGAGAATACTCTATACATTGTATGCGTTTATGAAGCTGTCAACAATCCCAGGCTCCTTTGGCTCCATTCCTTCTTCTCTGGAAAATTGGGAAAATCCTGGCTGGGGTGAAGGAAATACAAGATGATCGCTTCCAAATATATTTCTGGCCTCTTTTGGGATGAGATGAAAAATTAAACTGAGGAATGGAAAAGGGAGAAAACTATTGCTAAGGAATGAGGCAGCCACACCCCTCTTCCAGCACCTGCATTTTTAAATAAGAAGAAACTGTGCATTAGTGCATATCAGGCCATAAATGGAAAGGGTGGAGGAAATACACTCGCAAAGCACAAAAATAGACAGCTTTCCCTGAGGGTGGGGTTCGCTGTGTGTCCTGTAAGCTGTGTGGCCTCCCATTGAAAGTATTTTCTCATGGGGGTAGAAGGGAGGTTCATGATAGTCAAGGAATAAACAAAACTTACGAGGAAGTTCAGGGAGCTACTTGGAAGCACTTCTCAAGCCCCCTAAAGTTATATGCACAGAAACAGTTGCTGTAGGAGATCTGGCTCTCTGCCTGTTGTGTAGGGACTTCCTAGAATGTAGCTTAATAACTCATCACTCATGCTGGGTGGGCTTTCCAGTGATGTAGCTGCCTTGGAGTCACCCACGCTCTTGTAATTAACCCTAATAAACTCACAGGTTCCCCAAGCTAGACTTAGGTGGCGTCATGTCTTCAGCTTGTGTGGGCTAAGTGTGCAGTTGTTCCGAGTCCCTTCCGTAAGTCACACAACACTGTGTTTTCATATATCAAAGTGATTTTTTTTTTTTTACATGTATAAAGAGTACTGAGATGGACCCTCTGGCTGGCTCTCTAAGTTACTTGTGAGAGCTGCAAGCATTTTGGCCAATGAGGGTTGGTGTGTCCGTCTGTACTGAGCTCTACGGACCAGCAATGGTGAAAGCTCCAGGGTGCGCTATATCCTCTAAAGTCAGAAGAAGATTTTCATGAATTCACTGTGAGGTTGTGTGTCAGAAGCTGCACCATGAAGTCTCACCGATCTGACTGACCAATAGCGATATGAATAAGGATAGCAACAATGGACATGCCGAAGTGGAGGAGGGAAAAGCCCATGATGCTTCAAGACCTGCACAGCAAACTACAGGCAACGGAAGTGGGAGAAATGGGCTTCCTCAGGGGAGAGCACACCAATTGGTTACCCACAGCAAATGGTCAGGCCTGAAAACATACATACAAATAAAATGTTATACCGACGGAGCCGGTTATATTTAGGAGTGTGTGTCTGTGAATGTATGCATATGCAGGAAATAACAGTGGACGAAAAAAAGACCATGAACTTGAAAGAGACCAAGGAAGAGTATATAGAAGGGGGTGGAGGGAGGAAACAAAAGGGGGGTAATGTTGTAATTATGTTATAATCTCAATTTTTTAAAAAAGTAAATTATCATTTTTTCCCTATGATATAAGTATATAATTTTGTTGGTATTCTTATTTTATGGGTTAGATTCAGAAGGATGGTTATCTCTCCTCTCTTGTCCTTCTGTCTCTCTGTCACATGTGCCTTTATGAGGGCAGGGGACACCCAGGGCCTTGAACAGTCTAAATAAGTATCCTGCCACTTGGCTGCAGATAGCCATATATTTGCCTGAGCACTTGTAACAGTGGCCACACCTTTTGAGATAAAGGGAGAGGATCAGAAATCGGTGCCTCTTGGGGGAGGCAGGGTCTGCCTCCTTGGAGCAGGAACACTCCAAGTCACTTGTTTTCTGTGTAAGTTTTTTTCACAATAAAACACAATCTATTACTCTACCAGATCTGGTTAATTCATTACAAGTCTCCTATAGCTACATCCTTGGGCTTCAGGAATCATTCCAATCACTTATTATACAGTGTTCTTGTCAGTTAATCTAATTTCACTTCCTCAAGATAATACCCACAGCCTCCTGGCTTTAACTTAAACCCACATTAGTACCTAACAGCTTTCTTCCCCTATCAGATCTAACATCCAAGAGTTGAAAAACTGGTCTAGCCACCAGTTCTCAGCTCGTGGGAAAGCAGCTGCAGCCTTCCAGCTGTCAGCCAGTGATGAGGACACTAATGGAATGTAGTGAGTCCAGCATTCACAGAACAAAAACATCGGCCATCTCCAGTTGCCCTGTAACCAGAATTTCCAAGTTATATGTGACATTAAAATACCTCACTGCTTCTCAAGCTTGACTGGACATTGGGACAATCTAGGCAAGGGTTTTTAAAAGATGTGATCTGGTCCACTTTGAAAGATTTTTTTTTTCCTAATATGCTGGAGTGTGGCTGGGGCCCATGTTTATAGCTTCCAAGATGGTTCTAACAGCCACTCCATTTTAGGATCATTGAACCAGATCATCTTTAAGACAACATGTAATAAAGAGAAATTAATAAAACATATTGAATGTTCACTGAACCCTGAAAATACATACAACTACTGTGTGTCCATTAAATATATATTTTTATAATTTTTATTGATTCTGTGGGAATTTTTGTTTCTTTTTGGTTTTTCAAGACAGTTTCTCTGCATTGCTTTGGAGCTTGTCCTTGAACTTGCTCTGTAGACCAGGCTGGCCTTGAACTCTCAGAGATCCGACTGCCTCTGCCTCATAAATGCTGGGATTAAAGGCTTGAGCCACTGATGCCTGGCAATTCTTTGGGAATTTTACATCATGCGTTCCAATCCCACTCAGTTCCTAGTCCTTCCATGTCCACCCTCCACCCTTGTACCCTCCCCCACCCAGAAAAAGAAGATAGAAGTAAACATTAAAAAAAGAAAATTTGCTCCTCTCCATAGCTTACTCATTTGTCACAGTGGCATTGGGAACGTCAGTGTGCCCCACAGTATATCCCTTTGCCCAAACAGCTTTACTTGTAAATGTTCAGTGTGATGAGTCATTGCTCTGGTAAAAGGCC